AGCTGCCGATGGGGGCGTTGCCTATAGTACCATAGAGCTGGCCAACGTTAGTTACCTCTGCACGTTTTATAGACAGTTACATCGGAGTGTACAGTCCATAGATTTACAGGTCTATAGTTGGAGCGTGGATGCGAGTCTGAGTCGCCGGAGTGATTCTGTTCGAAAAATTGACGTCACGGGCCTTACGATCGGTAGGGGTCTCCAGATTCGATATGTGTGTACAATCGCTGCAAGCACGCTTAGATATGTCGCTGATAATTTCATGATTTAATTCTGATTTTGCGTGTACACATGCCTCTGCTGCGAAGTGAGACATATATTTCTCAACAATGTAAGCACTTACTTCAATTAGTGAGATAAAGATGGAGTCCTAAGGTTGCCAGTTATTTCTCGTTCGTAATCGTGCTGCTAGACAACCGCGCCAGCGCCGCGAGCGAATTGCCTTGCCCGCCGCCAGCTTTCGCCCTGCTTCCTCAATATATATGTGTTAGTGTACGCGTCGAATGCTGGCGCCGTTATGCTTTTACAGTTGGATTATGCTTCAAGTGCTGGGGTTCACAGGCACTGAAAGCGTTTCCTAGGTCCCAGTGGCTACGGAGTACGGTAGACCAGTATGTTTACTTAACATGGTCTCATATGTGCTACAGGGATCGCGAAGTCCATTCGCCTTTCAAATTATCTTTAACGAGCCAAGATTTTTGGCGCCTGGTTGGCTGCCAAAATTGAAAATGGGGATAAATTCACGATTGAGAGTTTAAGATGAGCCTAAGAACCCTTACCCTAACCCTAAAACTACCATACCCCTACCTTAACCCTAATCCTAATCCTAACCCTACCCTAACCCTAACCCTAACGCTCAAAGTCGGGCTTCAACGACCGAACGGCCTCCGTACCGTAGCCACTGCGTTTCCTATATAAAGGCAGTGGTCAGGTTTACGGTAGCCGTATCTTAATGTCCTCGAGGCTACTGGTGCGGCGTGAGTCATTCAGTTTCATCACTTAACGCAGAACAAAGATGGGCCGCCGCGGTCGGGGCGCCACAGTTTCGACTAATAACCGCCTTCGGGCAAATAAATTACCGTTGACGGGAGTTTCAGATGAGCCCTAGATACCTAACCTAACCCTAAGCCAAAAAGGCTTCAACGAAGCGACGGCTACCGTACCTCCTGCCGAGCTGCGTTCCACTATTCCATCTCTGTTTGCGCGGGACGTCCATTCCACCGATCGCAAAATACACTTTCCTACCGTTTCAATATGGCGGCCACCCGACTCCCGAACCTGCCTGCCGCGCCCGCCTCTACTGTCTGTACGGGTTCGCCCATTGGTATACAGCCTGTTAACCCCCCCCTCCCCCCTCCCCCCGCACACATCATATCTTCGGCGATCTATAATGAGATTACGTTTCTAGAATTTTTGCCAGATAATGATACATGCCTCTTAGGAAATAAGTCTCTGGTGAGTTTCAAGTTAACTTGACCCACAATTAACCTAATTAATTAGCCAATTATTGCCACGCGCCGGTTAATCCCCACTAGGCTAATTATACGCATATCTCGCGCCGAAGAAGTCGCGAGTGATTGATTCTATAAATTCGTCATGGCCTAATGAGGACATGTCTTAGCTATGAATCACTGTAAGTTTCAAGTTTAATGGACCTCTACGCTTTAACTCTAATTAATTATGCTGTTATTCTACGTCTGCTATGGAAGTCTCGGAAAGCTTATAGGCTGTTAGTACCGCGGTTTTAGCTATGACACACACACACACACACACACACACACACACACACACACACACACACACTAACACACACACACATATGAACACGACACATAGGATGTATTCATTCAGAATATAATTCATTCTCTTATAATCTGGTATCTGCTATATATGTTTTTAAAATTGCATAAATGTCTGATCGTATATATCTCAGAGTTTCTTCTGAGGGAAAATTTAAAGTAGGTAATGGCCAGTTTGGGAAAAACGCGCACGTTGGATTCGAAGGCATGCCATAGGCACTCATGTGGACGCTGCAGGCAGACGCGGGGGGGGGGCATGGCTATCTAAATATGCCAGAAGCACGTGGTGATCTATTTATTTTTGGGTTGACACTATTTTGACAGCGGCAGGTAAATACAGGAACATTTTCACAACGACAATGTTAAATTTGACAACGGCGGTGCGCCACTGTGCCTCTTATGTATAAGAAACCCTGTCTCTTATCATATCCTATCTTATCTTACTTCTTATGGCTTATCTTGCAGTGTTCGAAATAAGGGCCATCCGTTTGTCCTTACTTGTCCATTTCCACGGAGGACAAGTCGACCTGTCCAGTAGCTTGTCCGCTGGACAAACAGCGTTTTAGAGCAACTTTTTAGAGC